TAAAGACGTAAAGCAAACAATTATCTCTTCTAGTTAGGACCTTTGTACTCGGTTGTGTCTTGAGGTAGGTTGCTAAACCTTTAAAAAATTTTGCCCGTAGAGAATATGAAACAAAATATTTTTTTAGGTTTTATATGTACATTTAAATAACTAAAAAATCATAAATTACTACATCAATATCATAGAATTCTACTATATTTTATCAAGTTTAGCAACTGACCTTTATTTGGTTTTTTTAACTTGTCAATATCTGTAATTTGAGTTTCTAATTCATATGAAACTATAGACTTAGTGTTTTAACTTCACAAACATCTAATTTGAACCAGTGCTGCATTCAACATACCATGTGACACACAAAAATCGATGTTTATCTGTGTTTTTTTTAATATTTACTTTTAAATTAACAAATTGAGTAAACGTATAGTTCTAAAATTTGAATTATAATCTACAGTTTGATACTAAACTTAATGACATAAATTCATGAAATAGTAGTTCAATACAATTTTGAATGTGAGTCAACAAAAGAGATGGTCTTTCACCTGTGACCCGTTTCGAAAGGGTCAAGAAGTGTATATTTTTTTTAAGTTAGTTTTTAGTGATATTTATTTTACCATTAGCTTATTAAAGTTACATTTAGTAATAACTTATTTTGAAAATTGAAGGTAAGTTAATTTATAAAAGCTGAAACTGCTCAGTGTTTTGAAAAGACAAGACCACTTCTTTGATTTGTCCTAATACTGAATACTGTTTTCTATAAGTGATATTACAAGTACATTTGTATAGCTTGTCAAATATTATTCTCAATCTGATTTCACAGGAAACAAAACATTGTCGTAATTAACAACCTACTGAACAATTCACTGGCTATAAGTTGAAACTATGAGTTTCTTTAAAAAGATATAGTGTATACTGCCAAATTAAGACCTGATTCACATGGCATCTGAAGCACTAGCTCTTACAAAACTGAGAAGTAAGAAATCCGTGTTTTTAGAAAAACAAAAATTTTACAACTGAGGTTAACAAATTAAAACATTGTAAGTGTACCAAATGACAAAATATCCACTAAGAGTTCTGGTATCACAAACTTAAATTTAAAGAACTCTGAATTTCTTTTAAATTTTATACCTAAATGAGAATATATATGAAGTAGTGTTTTCTACCATAACATTAACAAACTAACAGAAACCAAACTTATCACCGAAAATTCTGGAAAGGAAAAAAACAACAACTGTAAAAGTGTTTGTATTCACAAATGCCCATATACATATCATATCCGTGATTATAACTACCATTTCATGTGCTTATATGTTTTAAAAATTTTTCCCAATGGAAAAACAGAGGTATGGTGAAATAATAACAAGACAGCTCATCACATACATCTTTTCTTGATCTTTTCACCAACTTCAAATTCATCACTTTCTACAGCGGCAGTGGAAGTGCTGGAATATGCAAATTATGTCACTTCAACTTTCAATTGAAGACAGTGCTAATTTTAAAAATTATACATAACAGATTAATATAAATATAAAATGTGAGTGTGTTTCACAAGTGTAAGTTTATTTCTATGGCTTTTATCATGGGTTGTAATGTAAATTTATTGTATTTTTTGGATACAGACAAATACCCTTTATTTTAAGAAATATTTCTGGGCATAAAAGATTCCATTCACAAGAATTTTTTTTGTAAATGCCAATGGACTAATTAGTTCAATAAGTGGATTTTACTTAATAATCCTTACAGTTCTAATTAAAATTGCTTTGAAAATAAATAAAACTCAACTCTAATAAGTGTCTTCTAAACTGAAGCTACTCACATATTTATTTATTAACAAATACATTTATGATTGATCACTTTGCTTGCATATAATTTCAGAATAATCAGTTTTCCTACAGAAACAGACTGCAGTTATGGCACCACTCAAGAGATCTAAATACTTTAAACACATCCCTCCATTTAGCAAAACCTTACAGAGAATGTGCCGAAGGGATTATTTATAATTAAAGATAGCTGTGATTAAACAGGAATGAAATAAATAGATGCCACAATTTATTAATAGCATACTTAATGTGAATATTTTGAAGTCACAATTATTTCAAGAAATGCAACCATACAAACACATGATGTAAAATACATTTTCAAGAGCAACCTAATTCAGTGCTAGTGTAATATTATATTCAAACTACAAAACTTCTACTGTACTTACCAACTAAGAGTTCTCAAAACTAGTTGATATGAGGGAGTTAGTGCATCTAAAATGAAAAAAAAATCAATTTTATATATAAAAAAAAAGATAAAAAACAATGTTTGGCAATTTTATTAATAATTACAAGATACATCTATTTAACATAAAATCTGGGTAAAAAGTCAGAAGTAATAAGACTATTAAACATATGCAAGCTACAGTAATATATGTTTGCGTACAATACCTGACTGCAATGTTTTAAAATGTTATTCATTTATCATAAAAAAATACATAATTTTCATTTAGATGAAATTTATTCATCATGTTAGAAATAACATCTTTATAACATATAAGTAATGTGAAACACTGCTCAAAGTTTTATACTTATCGGGATACTGACATTTTTATGAACACGGTTATATAATAAACATGCTTAAACTTTTTAGCAATCAATAAATTTTAGAACTTTTTAGATATTTAATATATATTTGTGCAAACCTCACAACTACAAGAAGTACAAGTACTAATTTTCTTGGGCAAAATCATAAATATATTCAAAAATTTTTTATTATTGTCCACATTTTGCCCTAAAGTTACTAACTGATTCCATATTTATGGATTCCACTGGGTTTTTAAACAACTATTTATGAACCAAATTGTTTGCGAGTCCATGACTTGGTTGATTATAATGTTTCTAATAATAAATAAGTCATAAAAGAATTTAAACAAAATACAATCAACATAGCAGTTAATCACATTAATTACTGCTAGGAGCCTCCCTTTGCATTTTACATTAAAAAAAATTATGATTTCACCTACATTTTTTATCAGTTCTTCAAAACAAGTGTTGTAATAGACAGAAACACATAATGATACAATATGTGGACTCCAATGGCAGATAATAGTATGAAAACAAATTAATAATTCAAAAGTTAATAACTTCTAATAGTCATCCATTTATATGTATATATTTGAATAATTTAGATAGCTACAGTACGGGATTTTCACAACTTCATCCAAAAGTTTTAGAGAAATTCTCCAAAAGAGCTTGAAACTGCCATAATGCACTATAGTAGTATAGGAAACCTCAAGATTCATAAAAATACAAAATATACTGTTACTTATAATAGTGAAGAAGGTTATAATTTTCCTATATTGAAAATGTATTTCCGATAGGTTCTTACCTCCTTTCACATAAACAGCTATTTCATTTGGTGCTGCCCTCTATATGCAAATTTTTTTTTTTGCATTCCACAAGCCTTGAACTCTCATGTATCCCAAGATCAGTACAGTTCAACTGTGACTTCCATGCAAATCATCATGCGACAATCCTTCAACAATACGAGTGTGACACACCCTCCTGATGCATGTGACTCCCCTATTCCATTTTACCAACTATCACTTTGAGTTTTGGCAGAAAATGGAAGCACTAGTTTTCAGTAGGGAGAAAGGGTAAGAGAAAGTAAGTACCTATTGGAAATAGCTTTTTGGTATAGGAAAATTATTAGCTTCCAATATGGTACATTACGTCTTTTCACATAAATAGCTAGAATTCCACATTGAATAGGTGGAGGGACAGGTGTGACAGAAAGAAAGAAGCATTCTCTGGAAGTATCTAAAGGACACCCTAAGAGAGTAGATCCTCGCAGTAAAGGATACGTATACGTGAGAGACCACAACACTGGTGGAGGGAACAAAAGTATAATTGAGTGAGGAAACAGCATAGCAATATTTTTTGTAATTGCATTGCAAACTTCCCAGCATACATGGCAATATCAGGTGAAGGAGAAAGAACTAAGTAACCCCCCCCAGGATATATCTGACAACAAGGCAGGGTAGACTCAAAAGCAAGGGAGTGAATCCCCAAATCTTCACAAACTCGCATAACTAACCGCAGAAAAGCTCTCAGTAAAGGCAGCTCTAGTGAAAGATGGAGCAGAAAACAACTCCAAATTCTCCCCAGTATATTCAGGTTCA